GCGGTGGGGGGGTGGCTAGGACACCTGCTATTTCAGTTAAATGTTGAAAGGGATATATAGTAACAATCTTCCCCAAAAGCTATTAACGTTTGGTTGAATCCTGTGTTTCCACAGAGATCAGAAATTACATGACTGTGTATTTCTTTTTCTTTCCCCTTGCATTCTGGAGTTATTTGTCCTTCAGTGTGGCAATTGTGTCCTAAGCAATGGTAAATCTTTTTGTAGATAGTCGTAACTCCTTGAAGGTTCCAGATTTGGAAGTGTCTCCTGAGAAATATCTTCAATTACTTTTATTTGGTGAAATTGTATGCTGTTTCTGAAAGAGGAACTCACTTTACTGTAGCAGGTTCTGGGTTAAGGATGCAAGTTCCTATTGATGGAAGTAAATATAGATACTTAAATATATATATATTTTTAGATTGACAAAGTGTTTTGACAACTGGAAATCACATTGTGTGGCCCTTAGTATGTTATGTTATGTAGCTATAGTGGCTGGTCGTGTTGGCCGACTGCTTATTACTTAATAATATGTGTTAGTAATTACTGTATGCTTACTGACAAAAAAAGCCTATAGATCCTTTTGATTCAAAAGTTTAGCTTCTAAAAACTGGAAAATTGTATTTAAGTAAGTATGTATTTCACTGTAGTTGAATATGTACTGTTAAACTGTTCCTCTCAAGTTAACAGTACTGTAGAATATAATAATGAATTAAAATTACTGAATTGATGCATTACTGTTTTGTAATTTTTTCAGTTGATTTAAGAGAGGGTATTTTTCAGTTGAATAGTGTAAAAATACTCTAGTTTGAGGGCTTCACTTTACACTTCAGCTTTGGGTCTGAATGAGCCATCTGAAACATGTGATAGACTTCTGTTTCATGTGGTGGTACTAGTTTGAGCTACGGTCTAAGAGTACCTTTTATGCAAATCAGACACTACTGCAAACATTTTATTCAACTGCTGTATATGTTACTTAATGCCAGCGATCTGTGAACCAGTTTCCCTTAGTGAATACATTCAGCGTCTGTTCATGTCCTTAGTTTGGGGTTCTTCCCATTTTTTTGAAAGGTACTGTTCAAAGAGAGGGCTACATATCTAAGTCAAGCTAGTAATACAGAATTTGCCTTTCGTTTTCAGTCTTCCATACAATGAGTTCTTTGGTGGTGTAAGTGGCCTGACAGTGGAACAATTCAAGAAGATCAATGGGTTTCCAAATGCCTTTTGGGGATGGGGTGGAGAAGATGATGATCTTTGGAACAGGTGTGTTCAGTGCTTATGTCTTTCTCATTGTTCTGTGGTATCCACCCCTTGAGAGCAATTAGGTGTTTTTTCTTTCAGTTGTTACCTTTTTTTAATTTGTTTTAAATGAACACATTCTAACATTTCTAAAGAGTTCGCTTTAGAAATACCAGAACATACCATTTGAAGGGATAAGTATGATGTTCTTTTTTCTTGGTCTGGGGACAGATAACAGGCTTTTAAGAGATAGGTCTTGTAACAAATGACGGATATAACAACAGATAACAGTATTAAGCATATTTAGTATCATTCCTTCTAGTCTTCTGTGCACTTCTTTATTTTAATTTACATCTCTTGCTGTTAGCATGATGGAATACCATCCCATAGACATAGAGAGTAAGCATGAGTTTAAGTACCTTTCATATCTTAGGAGCAGTGTTTGAGAGAGATTAATTTGTGACTGTATTGATAGTCACAAATGTACAACAATGCTCACTGTATTACTAACTGCTCACAGTAAACAACTGTAAAATGTTCCAGTTGAGCTGTTGAAACTAAGTGTCTGCATGAGTTTATATATAAAGAGATTTTTTTAAAAGGACGAGTTTGTATATTTTTATTCTTTTTCCTTACTATTTTCATATTTTTATGCTGTTGTGCTTTTAAGAACAAAGCTGGAAACACTAAATATGAAATTATTATTATTTCACACTGTATTGGTTTTGCCAGCTTTTTTAGTTGTTGGGTTAGGAGTGTTTTGGGTTTTTTAGGGAGAGAATGTCAGTGAATGTAAAGACTTAGCTTTAAAAGATTGGATGCGTATTTTTCACTTTTGCTGTAACTTGTAAAAACATCTTTTCAATACTCTTCATACAAATGTTTCTGTATTATACTGTAGGGTTCACTATGCTGGATACAATGTAACAAGACCAGAGGGAGATTTAGGGAAGTACAAATCCATTCCTCATCATCACAGAGGTGAAGTCCAGTTTTTAGGACGGTAAGAAAAACAGAGAACTGTTCAAATACTAGACCTAAAGATGTAAATTTTTTTCTTACACCCATGCAAATCTTCCACACATACAAATAAGCAGTCAGTGCTTATCATTGTTATTCCCTCTTTAGTGTTCAACTTTGTATTCTCTTAAACATATTATGTTTGGTGTTCAGATATTTCTTATTTAACCATGAGAGGGACTGATTTTGTGTGTCAGAAGATATTATTGTCATAATCTTTGATGCAGAATGTTATTGTTCGTTAATAGTTTGGGCATTAGTACTGGCAGGGCTCCATTAGTTGGTTAATTTGGATATTCTGCAAAAGGAAGCAGTACAGCTAGGGGAAATGACTCCTGTGTGAAAACAGACTTTGAAACTCCTCAAGGATTGGTTTCTTCCATCATATTTCATTCTTTTCTGAGTTACGGATCTTCTCATTTCCTGCTTACATTGACATGAACTTTTTCTTTTGGCGTTCCTTTCTTTTGCTACAAAGGTGCAAAACACTTTAACTGGCCAGTAGGTTCTGGCTGCCCTAGATTGGAATAGCAACCAGAATGCAGCAGATGAGCTACACCTAAAAATTAGAACGTGAAATGCAAAATAAAGGGTTTATGGTATGTGTTTCCAGATAATTAGAAATACTGCTCAATTCTGTTATCAATGGTTGTCTCTCTTTCTGGGAACGCCTTTATTTTCTGCTTTATTCATAATTTTTAAACAGACACGTACAGTAGACATGAGTAAATACATGACATGAAACTAAAATGTGTATCAGTAATCTGGGGGAGGGTAACTTTTTTTAATCGCCTCAACTTTAGATGTTTGCAAATGCAGGAGTCTCAAGAATGAAATGTAAAATGATTCAGACATTTAAATGTATAATGATGAACAGTGAAGGTTCATAAATCTTCTCTGAGCTCCATAGTTGAGTTTTATAGCAAAAGAATATGAAGAAATTGAATGTTCTTTAAAAATTGGTTTAGTTTGGGACCATAAAAAGTATACATATTAAATGCCTTCTTTGTTATTTAGTCTTAATGTTAACTTGTATATGTGAACATAGAATCTAAGTGTATTAAAAAATGGAAAGTGGCTTGCTTTTAAAGCTTAGGTAGGTAATTTGGTAATTGCAAAGGGCTGAGAGGTAGTTTCAGAATTTAAACCGTATTTCAAAATGAAATGACGGTTACAGTATCATGTCTAACATCAATTGAATTGTTTCTTGCAAATCTTTCTGATGTTTTCTTCTTCCAACTCCCTCTGCAGATATAAACTTCTGAGGTATTCCAGAGAACGTCAGTATATTGATGGGTTGAACAATTTAATATATACTCCTAAAATACTTGTCAGTAGATTGTATAAAAATATAACTGTTAATCTGATACCAGAACTTGCTCCTGTTAGAGACTATTGATGGAAGTGGAATGACAAGCTACCCTACCAGAATAAACTTTTAACACTGGAAGCTACTAATAGTCACTGTAAAACCAAACCAAACCAAACCAACAAACAGCAGCTTAGAATTAGAGATTTTTGACCACTTGGTGATGCGTATTTGGGATGAGAAGTAAAGTGATTGTATGTACCATGCATTTTGTTCTGAAAGAAAAGCCAGCAGCTACCACTCAGATGTTTACAGCATGAGACTACTGTTCAAGCCTTCATTCTTCATATTCTCTATCTTAACCCCTCAACTAAATAAACTGCAGAAAACAGACTTGTAGCTTCTCTGGAAGTAGGGGCAAAGGCCTCTTCTTCCAGGAATTTTTTATACTAAACCACCCCCTGTCGTATTTAAATGAATGCTTTTGTTTCTTTCTAAAATGTGTTTTGTAAATATGTGATGTAAATTAATGTGTGTACATTGCTTTTAAATTGCTCAATATTTTATGCTTCAGTGTGTATTTGAGTGTGTTCTTGTTTGAATTCTATAGGAATGTTTTTATTAGCATGAAAGAACAAGTGTAAAATGTAAGTATGCTTAAAAAAAGGTTATACCTTATGTGAAATGAAGGAAATATTAATTGTTGGCCAGCTATGACTGTAAACTGTTATACTAGTTTTGAGCTCTAGGCCTCCTGCATATCTATATAGAAAAATCAATTCCGTATATGAACTTGCTAGAAAGAAAGCTTTTAATTTTATTTATTGCCAGCAAAATTGTATGATACCCTGCCTGCCATCTAAATCCTATTTATATGCATATTGCATGTGTATTATGGAAAATCTTGCGGTTGTTGCGTATTATGATCTACAGGAAATCTAAATGTTTCCAAGTGTGCCACTAGTGTCAATGTCAGGGATTTTAATGCCTAAAACAATGTGTCTGGGTGCGTACAGTATTTTGGTATTGTTCTTTTTTTTTAAAATCCTAGTAAACAGCACTTTTCTTCCTCCAAAATCAGAAGAGCCAAAAATGTGTCTTCATTGGAAGAATATTAAAGTTACATTTTTAAGAAAATAATAAAACATAGTTCTAATAGTTCTAATGCTTGCGGTGTGGGATTTTCAGAAGCACGGTGTTGGTCAGACTGTTCTGATGATGATGATGGCATAAGCGGAACTGAATGCAGGCCAATTCCAAGTGCTTTTTAAAATTCCACCCATAATATATTAATCAATATAGCTATTTAAGGGCCTGTTCTGGTAGAGTGCTGAGTGCTTCTATGATGCACTAAGTGTCCTCAAGTCAATGACTTTCAATGAGATTGAGGTTGCGCAGTCCCGCTAAAGATTGGTCCTGTCTATTTCTCTATTTTTGTGGTGTTATATGTATAGGTAACTAGCCTCTTTCCTTGGCTTATAATGAAAAACAGATCTTCTTATTTTCTGTTTGCTTGTAATGTTATGCTACCTAAAAGTATCCCACTGCTAAGCATTATTAACTTTTCCAAATATTTTTTTACATCGCTTGTTAATACTAAGGAAAAGGACCAGAACATTTATTTTCTGTTAATGCAAGGGTATTGACCAAGATCTACTAAACTCTTTTGTTTGTCACAGTTACTCAACTCTTTAGGAACCAAAGACTGACTCCTGCTCCCATGAAGAATGGAAAGCACTATACAATAAGGATTGTTTATCCACAGAGTGTTCTGTAAGAGTGTTGACAAAGAATACTAACTTTAACTCATTACTGTGTGTTGGTTTCCTACATTGCTGCCACAGATGGTGTGGTGCTTTGTGTATATGAGTTTGTTTGCCATAAACACCTTTTATTTCTTTGACATCCCAGCAACAAATTTTGCCCTTAGCCATTCTTCAGTAAAGTTATGAGCTTAGTTGTAGGCATCTCAAATATTTAGTAGAAATGTAATGATTTATTTTAAGTAGTTGAGAACAATTGTAAGGGATATTTTAAACTGTATTGGAATTACCTTAAAATCTACCAGTTAATCTAATATGCTTTAGGAATGATGTAGTGCAATGAAAATAACAAAAAGCATAAAGTGAACAAAACATCCTTCAAAAGCATGCTTAAGTGGTTTGATCACCTCCTGATATATTTTTCTATAACTGAATGTATAGAATATTCTGAAGCATATGGATAAAGGGGAGATAATTAATACACTGTATGAGCAATTATATCTTCAAAATAAAATTAGTCTTATTTCGTAACAGACTAATACAATTCTTGAAGAATGGTTGAACAAATTTTTAAATCCCTGATGTAATTTTGAAGTGATTTCTGGTTTTCAGTACAAGTTCACCTACAATCTAACACCTATGATTCTGAAACATCCTTTGATACTGTAGGTCTGTACTGTTTTCTGAAGCATGCTTTTGTGCCCATTTGTTAGGCATTCTGTGAAATTCATGTGCAATTTTCTAAAAATTCTAATGCATATATATGTATATATACATACATATATACACACTATATTACACATAAGCTGTGGCTGAACTGATATAACTTTACAGCTCTAAGTGATTAATCATGTATGGTTGTAGAAAAATGTGATTTAAACCACTATGTGAATGGATTATGACATATAGCTGAGTTCTTAAAAAGTTTACATTTTGGTGCCCCAAAGTGATGGATGTTAAATTATGAATTGTTAACCGACACTCTTCTCTAAATACCTTTTATCACTTTGTTGGGAAGTTTTGAAAGTTGCCATCCTAAATTACATCGAAGATAGTGTTTGTATACTACCTGCTTGAACTCAGTACTATTCTGTAGTGAATTTTAACATAGACAGTGCCTTCAAACAAAATAAATGCGATGCAGAACTAAGAGTTGTGCACATTCCTTTTGATATTTTCATGATTCTTGTAAAATGTAGAGAGAAGCCAATCACATTGGCTTTTGCATTGCTGACAAGGCAAATTAAGGACGTCCTCTCTTCAAGGAGTGAACATGGAGGGAGAAGAAAGAGGGAATATTTTACAAGATACTGAAAGTCTTGCAAATTAACAAGTAAAAACATTACAGAAATATTAACAGTGGAATCTGGTTGATATGCTAAGATACTCTTAAGCCCATTTGCTGTATTTCACATTTAAGTAGGAGAATATAAAATATAAAATCCATTTTGCAATAGACAGCATATTGAAAAGGAAGTGCAAAATGTCCTTTTTCTTGGATCTTGCCAGTCTATTTTTCTATCATTATGTTTACTAATGACTATGTTGTAGTGGGTTACTAATGAGCCAATTATTTAAAAATATTAAAAGGATCCATTGCATATCAGCAAGAAGTGTACTTAAGATTATTTTATTTGTAGAGGTATGTAAGATAGGCTTAATGAAAAATGCACTGAAACAAATGCTGGGAATTTCCTGTGTACTATCATAGTTTTGTTTTTTGTTGTTCATGAAAATGTTTGTACTTTTTTATCATTGTCTTTTATGAAATATAATGTTCTAAAGATTGTGTTGGTTTGTTTATTCTGAGGTTCTGTGGAGAACATATCTTCTTTGTGTTTTGTTTATAGACAAAGTGCTCATTTTTGTAGAGCTCAGTACCTTGAAGTAACAAAAAAAGGAAGGGAAACCTGGCCAGCAAATATGTCAGGTTAGGCTGTGATGGGATCAAGCCTTAGGCTATCAAATTGTTTTCCCTTTATTGGTATTTATATGCTTTCAGCTTTTGGTTTTATTAGGCTAAATGACTCAGCATTTTTGCATACTTTTCCAAGATGGGGTTGCTGTTCTGTTGAATCTCCTAATGGCTCTTCTCTATGCTTATTTCTGTTTAGGAGTAATCTTCCTTATATATGGATTACAAGAATAGGAAGTAGAGGGATTCATCTGTATTTCTCCTGGCATTAAATAGGGAGCTGGTTTTCTCAGGAATCATTATTTATCCTTCTTATTTTAATTCGTATCTTACAGCTATTACAAAAGTGTCTGATGATTAGAGGTATGCGAGTAATTTTTGGGAGTGCTTCAACTGGGGACAAAGGTATTTGCAGAATTTTATGAAAATACATGAATAAACTTCTTCAAGTATGTTTGATGGATATACTTTTCTGCAACACTGGATATAGACTGTCCTTGAAAGTGTCACCAGTTATAATATATTGGAAAGCAGGAAAGAAGGCATTTTAAGTATGTGTAGCATCCTTAGATGCTATTGTACCTTGCTGTCACTTGTAAACTGCTTTTGCTTCTGTATCTTAAGAATCAGAATTGGGAGGTGAGTTTATCTGATGATTATATGGGGCCCTGGGTAGTACTCCTATGTGAATTCATCTATTGTGGGCTTTAGTAATATAGATGATAGCAGGTGGTGGATTGCATTTCCTGTGTGCATACTTTTCATGAGATGCTTTTTGGATGTGTTTGGTTCATTTCCTTAGCAAGAAGGAATGGAGTTTATTAACTTCATGGAAGACTTTCGTTTATTCTCCGTTATAGTAATGGAAATGCTTTTTTGCCTAAGCTTAGTATGTTTTTTCAAACCCTAAACTTATATTCAGAAGAGCAATACTTACAGAATACAGAAATACAGAATACTTTTATTCAGAAGAGTATTTGAAAACAAAGTCAACACACATTCTTCCTAAAGTTAACAAAGTGAATAAACAACTTGACTGTTACTGTTAGTGATTTAGTATGACATTTAAAGCTGTTGATACAGTCAGAACCTAAGTTCTTATAATTTATGGAAATTTGAATTTACACATCTAAATTTTCATGCTTAGTGCCAGCTTCTATTCCACTGGCTCACTAACTACTGCTGTAGTTGAGTAAGAAAAGGGACTGAGGAGAACAGCAATGGAGTAATGTCGATAACCAGCATCGTTAGCTGTGAACACCACCTGGAAAAAGAAAAAACAAATACAAGACAAATGAGAAGTGATCTGTAAGATATGAGCCTAGATAGAACCATTGTGATCATTTTATCTAACCTCCCACAAAACTTTGGAAATATCTTCTCTTGTGATTCGATCAGTGTGATCTGTGGCTGCCTGTCACGCACAGTTTTTCCACTGGTTAAATATTCTTTGCTAAATGCATACATGTCACATAATTTAAAATTACTAATATGGGACTGCTGCTGCTACTGAAAGGTCATGTGAAAGGGCTGATGATGTGGAGGGGAAGGGGACAGTCCCCAAGGAGTCCCAGACCCTGGAGCTGGCCTCAGCTGGTACCGGGTTTGGACCACCTTCATCTAACCAGTTTCTCTGTCCCATGCAAACTAAAAAGGCCTGTTATAATTTTTTCTGTTGTAATCTGAGGAACCAAGTATCCAGAACACAGTTCATACTTCCATTATCTTTAAAAATCTAAATTATAAACTTTGTCTGCAGCCATACAAATACTGGATCCAAAAGGCAGAAAAATCCTTTTCCCAGGAGGCTTAACAGAGTACTCCACCTGTTCTCCCTCAGGTGTCTAGAAATAGTCACAGGAAGAATCACAGGCTTAAATAGAGGTAGAAGGACCGAAAACCTCTCGTAAGTAATGCATCTAAGAACTTACTGAGAGTTACAGTGAAGCTAGTAACTATGTTCTCTCATGAGTATGTTGTTACAAAGCTTTGAGACTGTGGATTTAAAGTATTAATGCAAAAATATTTTAAAGTGAAAAGAAAGTTCAACATGTGCAATTAGTAATTGAAGCCTAGACATTTAAAGTATCTTTATTCTTTGCAACTAAAGTACAGGAGAAGATGGATACTCACATCAGCATGGTGATGGAAGGGATTCAAGCCCAGTCTCTTCCAATAAGAGGCTGTGTCAAGCTCTATCTTGTATATCCCTGTTACAAATTGTTCTTTAGTTGTGAGCTCATGGAGCTCTCCGTTGTCATTGGTTTGTCTGTGTGATGGCAGAAGAATGCACTTTTATATTTTGGTTAAAAGCCTGAGAAAAATGCAGTTCTTAGCAATTGAACTTGAGTGATGTTGTGTAGCTTAAGTAATATGATGAATACTTCTGTTGATCTGGAATGGCTAACATCCATCTGTGTTATGGATGTTGCAGAGCTTATCTTGGCATTTGCAACTTCCACGATTGCCACAGCAGATGGCTGCCTGCCATGTCACTACTTTGCATGGTTTGGGGGTGAGCCAAAAACTGTCATTATTGTTCATAGACTCTTGACACAGTCTTGGAGTTAATCAAATGAACCCACTCAGAGGGAAGACTTCACCACTGCTGTAAGCAATGTGAAAGCTCTATGATGCACTTACTGTGCAAGTAAGTAGGGTCAACCTTTGATTTTTCCATAGTTTTCTTACTTATTTAAATACATTGAGTTGTTTTAGCAGTATAAATATTTTTTACAGTTGGCTATCCGAAATTTGAGATCTGAGATTTGAAATGACTGTAGGTCAGCCACCAGTGTAGTGTTATGGAATTTCCTGTTGTCTGTATTGATCAGTTCGTTTTCCATCCTCCACAAACAGATGGTTTTGTTTGATTTGAAGATGCTATCAGTGTTATCCAGGGCCATCGTACTGGCTTGAAACTGTAGACCTTTGAACACCAACCAATTTGGGGCTCCAGAACCAATATTGAATGCTGTTTCTCAAAACATGTCTCTTGGTTGAAATCTATTTCTGTGAAATATGTAATATAATACTAGCTTTTTGATTGGGTAGGTTATCCACAAATAACAATGCTGCTAGTGCCTGATTCTAGTACTCACAAGCAACTTTTATGTTCTGGCTGCCAAATCTTCTTCTGAACATATTTTATTCAAATTGCATGCAGAGAAAGAATGTTTTTATGTCATTGTCCAGTGCATTACTTAGGATTTCTGCTTTAATACAGCTTATGACTGAAGTCATAGAACACCATTTGTATCTTACAAGATGCTCTGTAGTCAGTTATCAGAGATTTTTCTTTTTCCATTCAAATGTCTCTGTTTTTTTCTTTGTCATAGATTCATCATTAGATAACTGTACATTTCTCTAATAAGCTTTCTCAGCTAAAACCAAACATCTTTAACTGAGAACAGTTATTTCATTCAACTATTTACAAATTAACAAGGCTGGAGAGGTTGATTTAGTATTATCATGACTTTCACATACCTTATGTTAAGGTTACTTTTTTCTTTGTTTCAGATGATAAGTATGTTTTTAAGGCTTCAGTCAACATCCAGCTGTTCAGCCAAGTATCTTTATATAAAGCCTCTAAGCTCAGTTTTGAAGATAAGTAAACTGAACACCCTCTTAATGGAAAATTACACGCATTTCCAGTGCAGTCCAATGTGTGAAGCTGTCTTCTCACTCAAGGGGTGGGAGGCAATTTAAGTAGGACAACATGAATAGATTGTTCTTCCCCCCTGCCCCGCCCTGTACAAATCTGTGTAGCCTTCACTGCAGCTATATTTTTCAAGGGCATATATGAGAGCACTGTTGCTTTGGCCAGCCCACTGCTCTACGACGCCAAAGAGCTGCTTATGTACAATTTCTCATGGACTTTTTACCAGTGCATCTGAGCCTGGGATCCCAATATTGAAATTCCTGCACTATGCCAGCTTTAACCCTTATGAGCCCTATCTCACTTTTTTTAGGTAGAATAGACCATTACCAGACCTGGAAAAGGGGGTGAAACTTTGCAAATATCTTGGGGAGAAAATGTGGAAGTGGGATGTTGCTTGTTGAACAGAGGAAGAATGTTCATTCTGTGTACCCCCTAAGAATTTTTTCAATTTCATTTCAGATTATACTTTTAAGTAAAAATTACTTTTGAGTTTTTAAAGTGTTAATATATGCTAAAATTGAGGGTAATTTCCAAAAAAAGTCATCTACATTTGAAATTCTACAATTACTTTTTTTTAAAAGACATGGCAATGTTTAAATATCTGGGAGATTCTTTTTCTTATTTTAGATGTAATTGCTTCTCTGTGGGGGATGAAGTGAGAAAACTTCATCCCCAAATTTTCTCCTTTTGGCTGATTCCTTGTTCTTGAAGCAAAGGCGGCTATCAGTTATTATGTAGTATGTGTTCAAAACAGTTCTGTGTTTTCTTTTTAAGGCTGTGGTGATGTATGAAATGCAAATCCATTTAGAAAAAAGGAAAATAGCCAATAAAGGTAGGATACTCAACCAGTCTTAGTTTCAGACAAAGTAAAAGAGTCTGCCTGATTCTTCTGGCAACAATGCATCAGTTCATTGGTGGGTACTAAAAAGTAATACAGTCCTTTGTAATGAAATTGAAGAGAAGCGATGACTGAATTAAAGGATAGTTTAAAATACGTTCTTATTCTCACAGTAATAAAGCATTGTAAAACTATTTTGGTAGTTGAAACTGTAATACAGTTAAAAGACAGTCTGCAGCAAATTAATTCAGTAGTATGTTATCTTTCCTCTGAGTAAAAAAGACACGTTAGAGAATGTGAAACTGGTTTTTTAACTATTTGGCCTTTTCCCATTGCCTTTCCCTTCTTTCACTCGTTATTTTGGTGTGACTTA